TTTTCTTCTAAGAGTTACTATCCTTTCCCATGTTTATATCTCATCTGTCCAACCAGAACAAAGTCTGTTTGATGGCAGATATTACACCTTATGTTTACGTCCCCGGCAACACTCAGGAACGCTATTTCTTTTGCATTTCTTAAACACAGCAAGCATGCAATAAATACGTTGATAGATAACTGATTTATACAGTTTCTCCCCCACCCTGTGAGGAATTCAGCAACTCTTCCGCACAGGTAAGTGCTCCAATGTTTTCTTCCTTGTGGGTAAATTGCCTTCTCATTATTCTGCCTCTAGCAACGTAGCTTTCCTTCAATGCCTGGTATGAGAAGAGGACTTGGAGCAAAGTCTCAACATTTCCCTTCTGCTGCGAGAAATAGAGGCAGATCACAGTGGGGGTGGGGCCAGGGGGGGCGCGGGTGGAGGGAGACAGGAAGAAAATATTATAATAGAAATGTAAAGAAAGCATCCATAAGAAATTCTGGAGAGGCAGAAAGCATTCCAAATACAAACAAAGCCAAGATATAGAGTAAAAGGCTTCATAGGCAAGAAAAAAAATGAAACCAAGTTGTCCCCATTAGACTCAGTATGGACAGGAACACGCGTGCCGAAAGCCCAGCACGAATGCCAAGCTCAGCTCTGAGCGGTATGACCCCTCCCAAAGGGCACCCTGGTGGGCTCTGCAGATGGCACATGTGGGGAGCCTCCTCGCGGCCCAGATGGCACGCAGCCCCGGTTTCAGGCCTGAAGGCAGGCACAGGGAAGCGATGGAAAATTTCCTTCAGGCGACATCATGTTGGCATAAAAAATAGTATTGATCCTTTTGCCTCCTGGCCAATGAGAAACCAACTTAGACAAAGGACATGAGGCAATAGGTTTAATGGGACTCCCACTGCAGCTGCAAAATAAACCTAATGGACCCTGACTCTCCTGCCCAAGGCTCCGGGCTGCACAGGCCTCTCCTGGGGAGGGCGGAGTGTTCCGCAGGCCCAGAGACCTTTTAAAAAGCTGCCACTGCCCTCGTGTCCACAGAATCCCCCTGCCAGCAGCATGCGGTGGGAGGGACTTCCGGGAGCGCGGGCCGATGTGCAGGGACCCATGCCACACGCCGGCCAAGCGCACACTTGTCACCGCAGACAGAGGTGCAGTCTGCCACCGGCGGCACAGCGAGGAAGCACGGCCTTGAACTCACAGGAGCTCCCCCAGCATCTCCAGCTCATCACTCCACATGAGTATAAGGCAGGACAAATGGAGGTTTGCAGTTGTTCGTATGGAAAATAATACAATCTATACTAATAAAAGCGTAATATGCTAATTAGACCTGACAGCCAAACAACCTTCTGGACGTCCTTCCGGACGACCTTTCGGACGAAGCTGGGGCTTCGAGGGCCAAGCCCCTTGCACGAATTTCGTGCATCGGGCCTCCAGTAATTAATAAGTCATAAAACAAGAGTAAACTGTGTTTTGTGTATTCACAACGATAAACCTCCTTTAGCCCAACCCCGTTATATGTTCTATATTCTTTTTTTCCAATCCTCACCTGAGGATATGTTTACTGATTTTTAGAGAGAGAGAGAAGGGAGGGAGAGAGAAATATCCATCAGTTGCCTCCCGTGCGTGCCCGACTGGGGATTGAACTTGCACCTGGGTATGTGCCCTGACCAGGAATCAAACCCACCACCTTTTGGTGCACAGGATGCCAACCAACTGAGCCACAGCGGCCAGGGCTCTGCATTTGTTGATCAGGTTGATGGGCTCCACCCCCAGGGTGTCCTAAGCGGCAGTCGGGGGTAGCGCCTGAGAATTTGCGTTTCTAATACATTTCCAGAGGCTGCTGGTTCCTGGACCAGACTTGGAGAACCACTGCTCTTAAAAAAAAAAAAAGGCTTAAATTAAGTGTTTTGGTGCTTTATGTGGGCCACTTCCCTGAATCACTCTCTTCACTGTGATCCTCTTCTGAAGGGAAGGGTGCATTTTCACTGGCCCCCCCACAGGCCGTGTGGGAAGCCACGGCTCTTTGCTGGGCTTCAAGGCTATAAAGACCCTAGGATTCTTTCCAGGTACTGATATTCCATTTCCTTTGATTCATTTCCATTCCGTCTTCTGCTTCCTACAGACCCAAGGGCCCCTGGCTTTATGATAATTAAGTGTGAGTCTGAGGCAATCAACAGAGTTATCTGACCACGAAAGGATGCAACCTGGCTTCAACCACACTCATGGGCAGGTCTGCTGGCCTCCTGGCCGCTGACTCCGGAATGCATCTTTGTCAAGCACTGCTTGGGGGAAGGAGAAGGCAGAAGTGCCCAGAATTCTTTTTTTTTTTTTTTTAATTCAAAGGGGGAAAACTGTAAACCCTGGATCTGGAACCAGTTCCAAGAGCAGATAAACAAAGCCTTTTAAATCGCCTATTTGCTTACTGGCCCAAGACTGTTCATATCTGGTTTATTCACAAAAAATAAAAATTATTGCGCTCCTATATGTAGCTGACACTGTTTGGGAACCTAGGAATACAGCTGTAAATAAGACAGGCAAATGCCAGAACCAGAAAAACATGTATGTCAGGTAGGGGAAATACAGCAGGTGCCAAGGTAGAAAAACCATGCCTTTTGCACAACCACCCCCCCCACCCAAGTCCTAATGCTTAAAATAGACTCTGCTTCCTCTGGCAAAGGCACATGCCCAACGACAGGATGGGTTCCTGCGATCTGCTCCTGAGGTGCTTTCCTTCATGATTTGAAAAACAAAAATGATGCAGCCATTATTCGTGAAGCCCCTGGAAACCACTTCTAGTTCACTGAAAAGGTTCCGTTGCATCAGAACATGTTTAAATAAACAACCTGGCATACACAGAGGTTACATTTTTACCTGCAGGTAATCAGCAAGGCTAGCTTTTTTTCATGCACGGCCCCAAACTTCTTAAAAGCAAATGATGAAGACGCTGAAGGTTACAAAAGGAAGTTTAGGTGCTTTGTTGGAACAGTTTCACTGCAAATACATTTTTCAAAGGAGTCAGTGCTGGAGGCACTGAAGAGTTGTAGTTTAATCAGATGATCTTACCCAAAAGAACCCCTCCACGCTTCTCCACTTTAGTCATTCTTGGTAAAAATCGGAAGGTGCAAGAAACATAAGAGATGGAGCTTCCTTTATGTGAAATATCCTAGTACCCTTTGGTCATGTCTGAATGAAGTCATTATTGCAAGGATTTTTAAATCACAATGATAACTACAGCTACTAACAGCTCCCACTTATCTGACACAGTGACCACTTACTAGCACTAACTGAGCACCTCATATCACTAATGGAGCACCTACTGCATGCCAAGCACTGCTGAACAGTAATTATGTACCAAGCATTTTAGTTCCTTTGTTTCCATTTCTGTTCTTATACCAAGCACTCTATGTACACCACCTTAAACATTCACAACAATGCTGTGAAATCAATATCACCACCATCATCCCGGTTCTACAAATGAGGAAACTGAAATTCAGGAAAAGGAAATAACATCCCCAAGGTCACACCCAGTGAGCACGTGGCAGAGAAGGAACTGAACCCCAAAGCCTTTCTCTTCACACCCTGGTCCTGCTCCTGCCCCCAGGAGCTAAGATGGCGGGCTGGGTTTTGGGTGGATTAGCAAAAGGCATGTATTCCTCAAAACACTTAGCTATCATCTGCCAGGAAATGGTCATAATGCCTGTGTAAAGCTGCGATGGCCAGCATACATGATGGGTGCCCCCACGGCTGTGCAAAAGCACAACCTGGAAACGCTAACCTGGTGCGACGTTGCCTCCATGAATGTGTGCAACACCACACAGTGGAAGGTCACGGCACATAGACTGTCTTCATGCCACCCATGCATCTGGCATGAGGCCTGTGCCCTGCGATCGTGTGGGTTTGGGGTCTGGGCGGCGGGGGGGAGTTAGTGAGTTAGTTATAAACACTCTTAGAAACAGGCATTGAGAGTAGAGTCTTACTGCCCGGCTGGTGTGTCTCAGTGGTTGAGCATCGACCTATGTATGTATCAGGAGGTCATGGTTTGATTCCCAGTCAGGGCACATGCCTAGGTTGTGGGCCAGTCCTGTGTGGGCTGTGCAGGAGGCAGCCGATCCATGATTGTCTCTCATCATTGATGTTTATATCTCTTTCTCCCTCTCCCTTCCTCTCTGAAATCAATTAAAAATAATAATGAGAGAGAGAGAGCGAGAGCACGCAGAGTCTTCTTGCTGACCAATTCTGATAAGCTGAGACAGTTGTTGCATTTATGTGCATGTGTGTGAGTGTGTGCTGGCATGTGTGTGCAGATGCTGCTTTTGAGGAGGAGGAAGATGATGTGTGCCAATTAGGCAAGTGAAGCACCATGTGCAACTTCAGGGGAAAATGCCTCGTAGCACGGATACTATCCCTACAATAGTAAGCCGCAATCACCACTACTTATCAAAGGGCACCTTCCTCCTTATGTGTCCCCACATCCCACGATCCCCACGCCCCAAGGATGAAATAGCCATTCCTCCCCTGCTTTCTTGCACACACAGGACCTATTCTGTAACCCAGAGAGGCATTGCAAAAGCTGCAAGCCATGACCCTTCACTGAATATCGAGTTCAACGCGTGTATTTCTATCTTGTATGGGAAAAGCAAGGAAATTAAGCAGGAGAGACGGCACAGTGCCTTCAAGAATGGTGCGTGCAAAGCCAAAGCCGGCTGTAATTGAGTTTGAAAAAAATAAACGAAAAGAACAGGGAGCAAAACATGCTTGCTCTGCAGAATACCGTGTAGCTAAAAGTCTTCATTAAATGTTCCAGTGCACACAGCGTGTTAGCGGCGTGTTTGTGTGCTTGAGATTCTGTGAGCTATCCTGGAGCTCATAAATACGGAACAGGGACAGTTGCCATAGTAACTAAGTGCTCTTTAATCAATCCCGAAGCGCGGAAGCTCACAGGATAGTCTGAAATGGCCAGCACATGAGTTACTGCGGCTGCGGCTATGGGCTTGCAAGTAACTCACAGGCCATCCTCTCCAATGAGATGTTGACAAGTTGGCCAACCTGACCAGCCTGGGTCTTGAACACATGGCACCACCAGATGCTGTCTTGACACTGCATGGAAATCGTACTCTTGATTTCTTCCCCTTGACTGCAAGTACCAAGAGGTCCTACAAAAATGGGCCAAACGCTTAGTTAGGGAACGTGTCCTTAAATGTGAAGCTTTGACCCAAGTAGCGATGCGCTAGGACACGTGCCTCTGTCGCGCACGAGCTGTGGACACTGGTTCAATGAGCCGTCACGCCCAACACAGTGGACTCTTTGTACTTCTGCGAAGGGTGAGTGCTCCCCGCGCACGGAGGGCAGTTTGTTTTGATTGTGCAATGACACAGAAGAGCTGTTGCCGTTGATTTTTGCAGGAACTTTTTCCAGGCTAGGAACGTCGCAGGTAATCTTTCATCGGGAAGTCCAACCCTTCGCGACAGACTCCCACTCCCTGTTCCCTCTGACCATCCATCACCGCATGTCAGGGTTCTCCCCCTGGGATCATCCATCTTCTCAGGGGTTTAAAATAAAAAGATCGCGGCTGCACTGCTTTTTCCCCTCCCTGATCTGCCTCGGTAACTTCAGTGCGGTCCATTTTTAAGGCTGCAGATGGTAGTTTAAGCATACATATTTCTAGGTGCCATTAATAAGTAATGAGAATTTTAAAAAAATGAAAACATCTATGTACCACAAAGCCCAAAATCATTAGCAAGTGCATCCATTCTCCAGGGGCTGGCTGGTGCTTACATAACCAGCAGCTCTAATGGCCTGGTTGGGGCCCCGAGCTCAGTGTGGGCTATGGGCGCCCCCTTCAGGATCTTGGGTGAAATGCGTGTTGCTCGCATTTGAGATACTAACTAGTCAGCCGGGTAATTGTTTTTGCTAGAACCTTGCAGGAAATTTTCAAAGGAAAAATTTTAGCCCACCTCTAATGGTGTGGTCAGACAAAAACCTTTCACAGAACCAGCCTTAAGCTAATATTAAAATCAGGCAGGCAAGCCCAGTCGGTGTGACTCAGGGGTTGAGTGTCAACCTAGGAACCAGAAGGTCACAGTTTGGTTCCCAGCCAGGGCACATGCCTGGGTTGTGGGCTTGATTCCCAGTGCGGGGCGTGCAGGAGGCAGCCGATCAATAATTCTCTCTTGTCATTGATGTGTCAATCTTTCTCTCCCTCTCCCTTCTTCTTCGAAATCAAGAAAAATAAATTTTAAAAAATCAGATAGGTAAAATAAACGGGAATATCTTGCAAGAAAAAATATCCCATAAATATTGACATGTCCATTTATTCATGTGATTAAACAGTGCTTCTGCACTAGATGAGTGCTGTTTAAAATGTTAATGAACAAAATTAATACAAGACAGGCAGCCATGACCTCCTCACCTTCCCACGCCCTTCCGTGGCCTGAACCTGTTCTCTCTCACTTAATCCCCAGCCTTCACTGCTTGCCCCCAGATCTTTCCCTCAGTGCCTTGTTTTATCTCTCGCACATGTTTAGTCTTGATTCTCGGGGCCAGACATCTCATTTACTCTTCTCGCCAATGTGGTCCTATGCCCAGGACGGCGCTGATAAAAGAATGATCTTTCTTCTTTGAACATCAATGGCATCTTGTTTCTGCCTCTCATGTGATATTTTGAACACATTCCTTAGACTGAGAGCTTTTGGCTTCATAGCTCATCTTCTCTCTCTCTCTCTAGATCAGTGGTTCTCAACCTTCTGGCCCTTTAAATACAGTTCCTCATGTTGTGACCCAACCATAAAATTATTTTCGTTGCTACTTCATAACTGTAATGTTGCTACTGTTATGAATCGTAATGTAAATATCTGATATGCAGGATGGTCTTAGGCAACCCCTGTGAAAGGGTCGTTCGACCGCCAAAGGGGTTGCGACCCATAGGTTGAGAACCGCTGCTCTAGATGGCCAACTTTGTAAGGGCAGAGCCTGGCTCTTAGACAACCTTGACCCTCATGCCTGGCTCACAGTGGTGCCCCAGTCCTGAGAGATCGTGTGAATGAAGGAACATGGGAAGCCAACTCTCTTTTCACTTCAATTTCTTCCTTATTAGAACTGCTTAACGAGGTGATTGTTCCCCGACCTCAAAAGTGAAGCGGACACAAGGAAAGTACATCCAGGGTGGCAGTTCTCCCTCCTCTCCTTGGAAAACCATCCAACCTATATTCCTCTTCATTCATTCATTCTTTCAACATCAGTTATTGATGACTTGCGACAAATTAAAAGCATGAGGTGAGAAAATGCTCTATTTCTTACTTGTCTTCTCACCATAATTGTTGTTGAATAAAACCTTCCCAATTTTCCTTTATGCCATTTCTTTATTTTCCTTCAGTTTTACTGAGATATGAGTGACATAACATTGTGTGAGTTTAAGGTGCACAACGTGTTGATTTGATACACTTACCTATTACAAAATAATTACCACTTTCATCAAGTCACATAATTACCATTTCTTTTTTTATGGTGAGAATAGTAAAGATTTACGCCCTTAGCAACTATCAAGCATATAATAGAATTTCTGCCATTTCTTTACATACACATATACATATTTATTTCAGAGAGAAAGGGAGAGGGACAGAGAGAGAGATGAAACATCATTGATGAGAGAGAATCATTGATGGGCTGCCTCTTGCACGCACCCTACTGGGGATCGAGCTCACAAGCACCCAGGCATGTACCCTGACCGGGAATCAAACCGAAACCTCTTGCTTCATAGGCCGAAGCTCAACCACTAAAGCATGCTGGCCTGGCTGCCATTTCTTTATCACATCATTCTTTCATGCAGTGTGGAAGGCTATATATCCTTCTCACTCACCCATTCAACATTTACGGTACTTTTACTCTGGGCTGAACCGGGCCAGACCCTGGGGATATAGAATTAATTCACCACTCCTTTACTGTGGACTGTGCACAGTGACTTCCTTCTAAAAGGTACAATATTATGGAAAGGGGAAGAAATGAGCAACTATACAGTGCGGAAGCCTGACTAACCCCACCCCAGCCAGCAGATCTAGGTCAGCATCAACAGTGGAAAGTCATGTTGATAGCATGCGCCGTCGGAAGGATGTGGTGAAAATAGTGCTTTACTTATGTGGTCTTCCTCCTATAACCCATAACCCAAGGCTGAAAATGAGAAAAAGGAGACATCAGAAAAATCACAACAGAGGAACATTCTTCAAAATACCTGCCCAGTCCTCCCCAAAACTGCCAGGATCATCAAAGACAAAGAAAGTCAGAGAAAGTGTCCAAGGCCATAGGAGCCTAAGGAGCTATGACGACTACCTGGAGGGGAGCCACAACTGGAAAGGGGATGTTAGGCAAAAACTAAAGAGATTTCAATCAAGTATGGACTCTAGTTAATAATAACATATCAGCATCGGCTCATTAATTGTAATGCACCCAGTAACGTAAGATAATAATGGAAACTGAGTGTATAATATATGGGAACTCTGTACTATCTTTGCAGCTTTTCTGTAAACCTAAAATTGTTCTGAAATAAAACACTTATTTGTTTAAAATGGGATTAGACTTCAAGCAAGTCAATGAGAGCACCAGGCTCGTGTGGCTCAGTGGTTGAGTGTTGACTCATGAACCAAGAGGTCCCCGGTTCGATTCCTGGTTAGGGCACATGCCTGGGTTGCAGGCTTGATCCTCAGTAGGAGGTGTGCAGGAGGCAGCCAACAGATGTTTCTCTCTCATTGATGTTTCCATCTCCCTCTCCCTTTTCCTTCCTCTTCTCTAAAATCACTAAAAACATATTTTAGCCCGACCGGCGTGGCTCAGTGGTTAAGTATTGACCTATGAACCAGAAGGTCACGGTTCGATTCCTGGTCAGGGCACCTGTCTGGGTTGTGTGGCAGCCGATCAATGGTTCTCTCTCATAATTGATGTTTCTATCTCCCTCTCCCTTCCTCTCTGAAATCCATAAAAATATATTTTTTAAAAAAACGTATTTTTAAAAAAAGAATGTTCATGAGAGAGAAAAACAGTGAGTAAAGAGTATTGTGAGTGTGTAGCAGTCAACAGAACTCAGTCTGCAGGGTGAGAGAAGGCGAGCGGTGACGTGCGGGTAGTGTCGAAGGCAGCGTGTGCACAGCTAGAGAGGCTAAAAATACTGTTGCACATCAGAGAGGGCCTCGCTGAGGTCAGCAGCATACATTTTGGGCAGGAACAGCCAGCCCAGATGAGCAGCTTTCGCATAACAACCAAGAATAGAGAAAGCTGGTGCTGTGACCGACCTAGATAAGGAATCAGCTGTTTCTGCAAAATTCTCTCTTTGAATATGAACCACGATAAACACCCTTTCTCCTTGTTCAAATATTCCTTCAGACTCATTATTCTACGAAGCCTCCTCTTCAACTGCCCCTTCCCTCCTGTTTCCGGATTTCTGCAATTTTCACACTGGAAAAGATGAGTAATGATAGTGGGAAAAATTTCTGACGCCGGCGCAGGGAACATCCTTAAGTAAAAGGGTTAGAGAAGCAAGAAATGGAATAATTCAAAGAAATCCAAGTAAATATTTCCTGCCACGTAAAAATACAATTTCTTTGTTTTTCAAAAAAGAAAAAATTAAAAAAAGAAAAACGAAAAAGTTTCCAGTTTTGTTTTTTTTAAAGAGCCCGAGGGCAGAGAAATACAGCCCTGTGCTCACCTGCCTCCCGGGTCACCGCAGGCAAAAACAAGCCGGGAAATGAAAACGTGCTGGGAGAATGACACCAGCTGCACTGGATACATAGAAAGGAGCCATCATGAACCGGAGCCTGTCTCGGTGTAACCCTTCCTTAGTTTTCACATGTAATATCTCATGGCTTCTAAGAAAAACATAACGTAGGCACAACAACGATTCGTCATCTCATTGAACTGATGAGATGGTGGCTATTCAGAGACCTTCAGTGGCCTGGGTGGGCCTCCCCCCCGCCCCCCAGCATCGATGGAGCTGGGGCCCCAACCACACGCTGTACCGGTTTCCACTGTGCACCCAGGTGAGCGCGACAAGCAGATGGAGATGGAGAAGACTCAGGCGAATAATAAAAGCCAATATGTATCTTGACCCCAAAAGACACATACTAGTATACGGACATGTAAATATGGATTATGTCAGAAATATTAAAGAACTGACGAAAGAGATAGAAAGAAACTTAAAAGCACAAATGTTTTGTCCTTTGACCTTAAGTACGACAAGCAGGCGTAGATGGAGCAGACTCAGGCGAATAATAAAAGGCAATATGTATCTTGACCCCAAAAGACACACACTAGTATATGGACATGTAAATATGTCAGAAATATTAAAGAACTGATGAAAGAGATGAAAGACACTTAAAAGCACAAATGTTTTGTCCTTTGACCTTAAGTTAGTTATTCTTAGACTAGAAGAGGGGAAATAAAGCAGGTAATAGGTAGATCTTTTAAAAAACATCTGGATCGTCCCGTGCTGTTCAGAAACAACCTCACAGGAAAGGAAGGACAAACGATGTTATAGAAGCCGGTGGCTAACGCTTGTGAGCGAGTGGTCTAAATTTATATCCTCAAAAAACATGACTCAAGGAGACATAATCTCGGCCTATAAATATCCTCCGAGCAACAGTATAGGTGATAAATAAAGGAGGCGAATGATGCATAACCTTAGGTCCAGGTCATTGCTCTTTGTCCCGCTGTCTAAGGAAGACAAGGCTTCACACCTGAGCTGGTGTTGTCCTCAGAAATGAAAACTTCGAGGAGCGCTTCCTCTCCCTGCCCATAGCGCGCTTGCAAACATGGTGAACGTGCCTAAAACCCGCCAAACTTTCTGCGAGAAGTGCGGCAAGCATCAACCCCACAAAGTCACACAGGATGCTCTGTGTGCGCAGGGAAAGCAGCGTTGTGACGGGAGGCAGAGTGCTATGGTGGGCAGACTAAGCCGATTTTCTGAAAAAAGGCTAAAGCTAGAAAGAAGATGGTGCTGAGGCCTGAAGGCGTTGAGCCCCACTGCAGGTCTAAGAGGATGCTGGCTCTGAAGAGATGTGAGCCTTTGGAACTGGGAGGCGATAAGAAGAGAAAGGGTCACGTGATCCAGTTCTAAGCTTCATGTTTTGTTTTATTATATGACAATAAAATCTTGATATGTTCACTTAAAAAAAAAATTCGAGGAGAGAGTAAGGCTGGGAGCCACTGGAGATACCGGGGGCGGGGCTAAAAGTACCACAGGGAGGGGCCTCCGATGGAGCTCCATTAAATAAATAAATAAAATAAAAAAGAATTAGACTGGAGCAGGGCCGGCGTGGCTCAGTGGATAGAGTGTCGGCCTGCGGACTCAGGGGTCCCGGGTTCGATTCCGGTCGGGGGCATGTACCTTGGTTTCGGGCACATCCCCACTGGGGGGCGTGCAGGAGGCAGCTGATCGATCTCTCTCATCGATGTTTCTAACTCTCTATCCCTCTCCCTTCTTCTCTGTAAAAATTCAATAAAATATATTTAAAAAAAAAAAAAAGAATTAGACTGGAGCCGGGCCGGCGTGGCTCAGTGGTTGAGTGTCGACCTGTGAACCAGGAGGTCACGGTTCAATTCCCCATCAGGGCACATGCCCAGGTTGTGGGCTTGACCCCCAATAGAGGGAGTGCAGGAGGCAGCCGGGCAATGATTCTCTCTCATCATTGCTGTTTCTCTCTCTCTCTCCCTCTCCCTTTCTCTCTGAAATCAATAAAAGTTTGTTTTGTTTTGTTTTTAAAGAATTAGACTGCGGTGTCACATCACTCCACAGGGTATTTTTATTTCTCCTTTATCTTTGAAAAGGAATAATAAAGAATAGAATCAAACCCAAAAAAGCTTTTGGTTACTGGACTACTTGACTGAGAGCACAGATGGACGGTGGACAATACTAGTACATTTGCTATAAAGTGCCCTGCGTTCATGTCAGGAGATAGCAGGGCACCAGATCTCATGACCAGCCTACAAGTTTGCAAAGTTGAAGACACTGGGTCAGGCTTCTCATCTCAAACCCGTCCCAGACCCCACTGTGTTACAGTTTTCTCATGCCCGTAAGGTGGTCATGTTGTAAATCACATTCTAGATAGGCAAAGCATTTTAAGATCACTGAAATGGTCACCCAGGCAAATTACTACTAATTATTATCATATTATGACTCTCCCAGATGCTATGCTTCAAAAACATCATTTCCCCCAAATCTTTCTTCCACGTGATCGTTTTCTCCCTCTTAAAATTCTCTAGGTTTCCCGATTAAGTCTCATGAACTCCTCAAAGCCACGGGTTATTTCAAAAGACTTATCTGGTCCCAGCACTTGGAGCAGCCTAAGTTGTTTGAATTGCAGCAGAAATGACCCCGGGAGGCCCCTGCCGCGTACAATAGCTCTGGTAGAGTGACATTTAAAATATCAGGAGCTTTCTAAACACAGCAGGCTTCAGTTCATCATCCACAGCCCGACCCAAACCCCAGCACCATCCTCCCACTGCCTCCCCAAGGCCGATGCTTCCAGCTTTGTAGAGAAGCGGCCTGCATTTTGTTTGACTCGCCATTTATTTTGCAGGGAGAGGGGCCTAGATCCTTTGACAACCAGATATTCCGTCCTCAAATGGACAATGGCTCCCTTGTTAATGTGATAACAAAGACCCTGGTCGTGCCTGGTTGTTGGTATCCTATGTAAATAAACCACCATTTACTGCACTCACTAAAGGCAACTTGCAATGATCAACTATGAACTGGTCCCTGAGTTGGGACCAGTGCTCAAAGGAGAGTGGAGAGTGTCGAGCTCAAAAACACAAGTACTTCCTAAGGGGATCTTCGGGGTTTGTTTTTAAGTTCATAACAGTGGTAGCCCCGTGCTTCTCCACTGGTCTTCTTTTCCCCAGAGGGTAGCCCAGGAGCGCAATTGGAATTAGGTCTTTGTGATAATAGCACCCCCAGGAAACTGTAGACTTTTCCGTATTACAATGAAAATACCTAAAACACTTTGAAAATTAGAAAGAGCCTATACAATAAGGTAGAAGGCCCTACCATAGCCCTGTTTATACAGGCACACGTGCACACACACACACACACACACACACACACACACACACACAATATGTTACAGCATTTGGAATTTTTTCCATTACAACAGTAAAGTTTATAAAAACCACAAGTCAGGATGCAGGTGTTGTCTGTGCTCACATTCTGTAAAGAGAAGTTAGCAGAGCTCCGGCTGCTACTGAGTGCTTTCCTGAGCTGGAATTTGCCAGGCCTGCAATATTAACATAGAATTATGGAAATTGGAAACAAAAAGCTGGAGTCTACTGGGAATGAGAGGCTCAAGATGAACTCAGCTGGAAAATTTGGCTAACTGAAAGTGACATCCTTTGTGCGGGAATTTTTCTATCTGAAAGCTTTAGCAAGGCTGTAATTATTTTGAGTTTTCAATTCATCCCTTTCAAACGAAGCCTTTTATTTTCTTCATTGCTCTGTACCTTTCCTTTGTGTGAATTCGGGCGTTTGCCAAGCACTGAAGTGGTAAATTCATATTGGTTTTCTACATATATACATTCCCGGGGAATAGCTAGCAACACAACTTTTGTGTCCTCTCTGCCAAGAAAAACAAAGGAATATTTGTACATCAAAACCTTTTATCTTGTGCACAGGCTCAAAATACCTGCGCACGGCTAAATAAATCACCCAAGAAGAAAAGGCTGATTAAGGCCAACGAAGAATTTCTTTGCAAGTTAATGCTTTTTCTGCACCGTGAATCCAGGGAATGCAAGAACTTCGACTTACCTTGTGGCTTTTGGGTCCCAAATCACAATGTCAGCATCTGATCCTACAGCTATTCTCCCTTTCCTTGGGTAGAGATTAAAGATTTTAGCTGCATTTGTGCTGGTAACTGCCACGAATCGGTTTTCATCCATTTTGCCACTGTGCTGTAAAACCATTCAAGGAAAAAAATGCATCTGTTCTAATGATCAATAGTTAAGAATCTCCTGTCAATCAAACTTGTATCTCTTGGAACCAAATAGAATTGCATCTAATTTCTTATATTGTGGAGCCAAACACACCTTATAATGATAAATGATGGGAATGATGGGGTAGCATATGGAAGCCCAAAGATAACTGTTCAAAAATACATCAGCTTAAAAAAAATACAACCACTGTGTTTTTTCACCATTCTCAGAATCGCATAGACAATAGCAAAATGTTAGAAATGGTATTTCTAATTCTCATTTGAAGTTCACCACCACCACCTACTACATTTATTTATTGCAGACCCAAGATGTATGAGTCATCCTGAAGACATTAGATGGAATGTTATAGAGTTAAGGTAAGATAGACTTTTAAATCAGGTGACAACACCTTTTGGAAGAGAAAGAATCAGCTCAAGAATTTCAATTTTGTGCAATTAACTTTACATGAACCAAGAATTATGGACAGTCTGCTACAAAAGATTTTTAAATGGACAGACATTAGAGGTCTGTGACCCCATTAAAACTACTTTTTTAATGTTGAGAGTTTATACATTTATATTGTAAAAGCATCTTTAGATTTATTTCATTATCAAAGGGTCCCTGTCTTTAAAAATTACTATGTCCTGAAAGTAATATTACCATAAGTAAATTGTCTGAATGTTTCACAAAATAACATTGATTATTGCATCATACTAAGAAATATCCAGTCACTTTAAAACCATTGATTTACTTAGGAAATGGAATTGATTATGAAAATCTGCTGTAATAAAGATACTCATTGTAATAACACAAGTTCGAAGAGAAATGTTGGACTGTTATCAAGAAAATCTAAGAAAAGAGAAAGAGAAGGGAAGTCATCTGGGATGGTTAGAGTCAGGGAAGAGAGCAAGGGGGGCGAAGAAGATCATTGCTAGATCGAGATGCTTTCAAGATCCTTACATGTATATTAATTGTTCAACTCTCATCCTAAAAGTAATGAAGAAAATTAAAGGGTGTTAGAAGAGTAGCATGAACAGACCTCCATTTCTGAAGGGTGACTCCCGCACTGGAGTACAGAATAGATTGTAGCAAGCCAGGCTGGAGGCAAGGACACCAGCTGTGTAGACCACTGCAATGGGCCTCAAACTAGAGTGGTAGACATGAAGATGGACATGAGAAGGCATTTTGGAAACAAAACTGACAGTACCTGTTAGTTAGAGTTAGAAGTGAGTGGTGTTTGTAGGGGATTCTGACGCCTGAGACATGATTAATGTGTCATCTGAGGGAGGGTCTCCAGGTGGTGGGCAAGAACGCACAATAATGGGGACCTCAGGTCTAACCAGCCAGGTGTCCCCTGCTGATCTTTGCAACTACACATGTCAACTGGCTAGACAGGTTAACATGTGAACCGTTAGCCATTTGATTCTTCTCCATCCTCAGGGAGAAATTTTTAAGTGATGGGGATTTGTCTAGACTTTAAATTATGATTTATGTGCCCTCATACAGCTGTTTTTAAAATATTACATCCAAGGTTTTTAGGGATATCTACAAAGATTTCATGAAAAGGAGGTAGAAACATAATACAAAGTATTCACGTATTTTCAGTCGTTCCAAGAATTTATATCAGTGACCCATGAGCTGGGATTCAAGAATATGAGAAATCAAATAGAAAGGCTACAACATTTCAAAGACTTCAAGAATCTACATTGGCACCCGATCTAAATGTATCTTCTAATGTGTGCAAAGCAGTGTGATGTAGCCTCTAAACTAAACCACGCGGAGAAGAAAATTACATCGTTATTATCGTGAGGCATGGGGCATTGTGGTGACGGTGTAGCAGTCCCAGTCTCCACCATAGTAAAAAAAATAAAAAACTTCTCTGTGAAGGTTACGGCACACTAGTCCTGAAGCAAAGTGGATTCGGGTCGAAGCATTAAGCAAAACATACAGGATCCTCCTAGCTGGTTTGGCTCAGTGGATAGAGCATCGGCCTGCAGACTGAAGGGTCCCGGGTTCGATTCCGGCCAAGGGCACATGCCGGGGTTGTGGGCTCGATTTCCAGTGGGGGCCATGCAGGAGGCAGCCAATCAATGATTCTCTCTCATCATTGATGTCTCTATCTCTCTCTCCCTCTCCCTTTCTCTCTAAAATCAATAAAAAATATATTAAAAACAAACAAACAGGCAGGATCTTGTAAACTCACCACGCCTTTTTCCCATATGACTGACATCCGGTCCTCAACACCGTTCACCCCGTTGGGAATCTTAGTAAAGTCATCCTTCCCGAGAGCTTTCTGGCAGGTGTTGAACGTGCAGTTGTCAGTCCCCGTTGTGGTCAGATCCCCACTGTAACAGAAAACCCACCAGAGGATGGGGGTGAGTAGACAGAACGGGTCAGGAGGAAACCACCACAGCCTCCCCTAGTCTCCTGACTCCCTTCGCAACCGAGTGTCAGAAAACTGCAGTGGGAAAGGAGTAGCTTTTTCAAAGACATACTTCACCCACTCCCATCCCTCCTGTAGGAGGCACTTTTGGAGAATACTCTTACGAGAAACGTGATGATCTATTCTAAGCTCGGTTCCATCACTTACGGGTTCTGTGATTACAAGTTTGTCCGATGCTCAATTTCTCATCTAGAAATTGATAATTATATGAGCTTGATGACAATTATTTCAAGATCATTGGCAATAATGAAAGTAAAAGTTCCTGGTGAGGAGGGTACTACACAAGATGTACCATGGGGAGCCACATGAGCAGAGGCAGTTCCTCTGGGGCAGCCCCTGGCCAAATGGGAACGTTGCGATGAGGGGAGACGTGACATTGGTGGAGGATGTTGATGTCAGCAGTGACAGGAATCCTGCTTTGACTTCTGAATAACCTTGGGGATGTAGAAGTGTGAAGGAGGGAGGAGGCTGAAAGGAAGGGGCAAGTGAACTCTTATATCGTCTGTTGTGAGAAGTTCTCTGTTAACTTGGATATGAGAATCTGTGAATGGGGAGTGTCAGGATATCCGTGAATGATGCAGTTCTCACAAAAACAACATAATGTCCCCGAAAGTAGTGTCTCTGAAAATAGTTCCGATGGCCTTTCATGAGGATCACCTACTCACAGGGAGGATTTTGCTTTTCCACCCCCTAGAGTGGTTCAGCCCTTGATTGTAACCTGTTATACCTGCACAACAGGTACATCTGGTTCCCAGGTTATATCACCATAGGGAAAAAGTCAAGAATATTCTGTAGGATAAAAATAAAGCATAATGAAGAGACCTGGCTCGAGGCAACAAGAGACAGAAAAGACGAGGAAAAAAATCAGAAGAGAATAAAATTTCAGTAAAAATGATCTGATTTCTCTGTGTCCAGGAGAGAGATTCTGACGCTATTTCATCACATAATTAAGCCAATGCTCTTTGGTCTCCAGATGAAGGACAGTCCCAGAGCCTGTCAGATCAAGTAGAACAGAATACTGGGAAGTCCGTGGAAGGTCCAGATGGTAAAAAAAGATCTCTGCTCGAACCCGAAACTCATCAAACACCTCATTTTGGCAAAAACACTTCACAGTCATCTGCTCAATGATTACTTAGCCAATAGATTCATGAGGTAGTCAGGAGTTGAAGGGTCTGGTCTCAAGGGGGGCCCCATAACGTAGTGGGCTGCGTGGTGCCATTCTTTATCCCAGTAGTGAGTGCCATCTGTGCCCAGACTTGCGGCTATGGGTTCTCCATACACCACCTTCCCTGGAAAGTTAAAAGGAAGCATTCAGCACCTTACCGTGTTCTTAAAAGAAACCAACCGACAAACACGTAAATATTCCTCTCTCCCGTCTTCGTAAAGGATAATATGAATCCTAAACCTTTAGTGAGCAGGACTTAAAAATAAAAACTACTTTTTTATGGAGCATTTACCATGTCCCAGCCAATGTGCATTGTATATTATGGCAATGGTTGTGCCCACTCACTGATATCAGACTTGGCCACGTGGATGACTTCGGCCAATTAAATAGGAATGGCAGCGCCATGTGCTGCTTCCAAGCAGGAGTTGTTAAAACCACAGTGAGCCCTAGCTGGTTTGGCTCAATGGATAGAGCATTGGCCTGCAGACTGAAGGGTCCCAGGTTCGATTCTGGTCAAGGGTACATGCCCAGGTTGTGGGCTTGATCCCCAGTGGGGGGCCTGTGGGAGGCAATGATTCTCTCTCATCGTTGATGTTTCTCTCTCTCTCTCTCTCTCTCTCTCT